TCTCAGAAGCAAGGTGGTTTACAGGCATTTAGTAGCTTCCACTTCATGCGTGGTCTCAAGGCTGCTCATTTGCAGTCTCCAGTGCCTCAAGCTCCATAAAGCGATCAAAGACCATGCCTTGGGCAGTGCCCGAGAGGACCTGGTGAGGGTGTCCCCACGTGTTTCAGTAAGAGTGGGGCAGACCCACCAAGAGGCAGCAAAAGAATAGACAGCCCACATCCTAGGTCATGAGATCAAGATAAATCCTGAAAGGGCCTATTGAATTGATGCTCTGCAATTTAGGCTAAAAGTGTCCTCTCCCTTATGGTGACGAGTCTAGATCCTCTAGGAAAAATCCGTGGTAGAAGATGGCAAGCAAGTGTGGACTCGCAGGCTCTCAGGGGCTTCAGTCCCACAGGTGGCATCATTGTGATCCTGGTGCTTCATGCAAGACTGGCCACTTCACATCTCTGTTAGCTACCTGTCTACAGGAGACCCACCCCTCCAGACTTATGTGTTCCTGTGTGTCTTTCCTGTCCTTATACCCTTGGAATTGCCAAAGGTACTGAGCCCTTGGCAAATCCCAGCCTGACCTCATCATGCTGCCAGCTGACTCTTGCACTCAGGGCTGGAGAGATGTGGAAATGCCGCCCAGCCCTGGTGACTGGATCCAGAGGCAGGATTTCCCCGTTACTGGACTTCATTTCAAATTCAAACATCGTCACAAAACTCCCTGAGGTCCTAGCTTGCTGCTGGATTAACCTTGGGTGGGTGGTTGATGAGTTTCAAATAACTCTCACTGCATGCCACATCTGGGCCCATTCCGCAAGGAAGAGTCGGGAGGTGGGTCTGGAGCGGGGCACAGCAGGCCCTGGGAGACAGTGGGAGGAGTTGGGGCTCCTGGTTTTGGAGTAGGACTTGCTTGCAGAATCCCCATTCATTAGGTATTTGCCAAAGGCCCTTTTGGTGTCGGAAGCTGCATTGCAGTGGAACAGAGCCCTGTTCCCAGGACTCCCAGGCTTCTTTCTGTTTGAGGCCTTGCCCTCTGCTCTGTCCCCGGCAGAGGAAAGGCTGAGCTCTGCCAGCTCTAGACCCGAGGCTGTATCCCACAGTCCCACCCACCTCTCCACCAACAGTTCCCACCGAGAACGGGAGCCCACCCGTGGTCCAAGCCTGGCACAAGTGGTCCCAGCAACCTGAGGGCCTGCTCTCATGGGACACAATGGCCCAAGAAATAGGTTCACTGTTAGTGTTAACTTGCCAAAGGACACATAGAAATGAAAGAACCAGGGTTCAGAGCAGGTCTATGTGGTTGTCAAGCCACCGTGCCCACAGCCAGTGGTCAGTGTGCGCATGCCCTCCACTGTCCAGAGGCCAAGGGGGGGAGAGACTCCAGGGCGTGTGGTTCCCAACACTGACTCTGCCCTGAGCCTGTCTCCTAAGTGCAGGCACCTGTTCCCTTCTGAGGAGGACTCGAGGTCCACCCCAGACCTGGCCAGAGCCCATTCCTAGTCTGATTTTGCCAGAAAGGAAGATTCAGGGTCCCCTGGGAAGCGGATAGTGAGCGGCTGACATTTCTGCATAGAGACACCAGCTTGCGGTTAGAGCCTCAGCCCCACACAGCTGGCATCACCACCCAGGGGCCCCTCTGCCTGCCTGTCAGCAGTGACTCGGGGCCCATCTACTCTAGGCACCAGGCGAGAACTGGCCCTGTGGGCTGGCCCCCGAGGCCTTATTTGCTGGGCCTGGCATGGGGACCCAGGCTGCTCGCTTGAGGGGGCAGGAGGGCTTCAAGTTAAACTCGAGGAAAACTCCTAAGCAAGGGCTGACTTGTTCCAATTCTAGGATTCCCTCGGAAGCACTGCCTGGGCCTCAGGCTGAGATGCCAAACACCTCTTCACACAGCCTGTCTCCATGGCCCGCCTTGGGGATTTCCTGGTTGAGGAACTGGTCAGCCCAACCCAGCTCCTCTGGGTAAGGCCTCCGTGTGGAGAAAGTGGCCTCTAGAGAGAAGCCAAGACTCTTGAGGCCAGACTGGGAAGCCCCACCTCTCCTCCAGTCTGTCCCAATGTAAGAGTTTCCCTCTTTGGGGCGTTCATGCAGGCTGGCGAGGCCTCCCGTGTGAACCACCAATCAGCATTCATTCTCATGTTGTTCAAGAACCAAGTAGTGCTAGCTGGGTGGCTCAGTTGTCCCGTGTTCCAAAAGGTGATGGGTTTGATTCCCGGTCAGGGCGCATACCTAGGTTGCAGGTTCCATCTCCAGTCCAGGCCCATACAAGAGGCAACTGAGCAATGCCTCTCTCCTCCCCCCACCCTCCACTTCCTCACACATAAACATCCCCTGGTGAGGATTAAAAGAAAAAAGAGCCCGGCTGGAATGGCTCAGTGTTTGAGCATCCTATGAACCAGGAGGTCACGGTTTGATTCCTAATCAGGGTATATGCCCGGTTGTGGGCTCAATCCCCAGTAGGGGTGTGCAGGAGGCAGCCGATCAATGATGCTCTCTCATCATTGATGTTTCTATCTCTCCCTCTCTCTTCCTCTCTCTGAAATCAAGTTTTAAAAAATGTTAAAAAAACAAAGCAGATGATCCCAGTGGTTAGGAGCAGGGACCTGGGATCCAGACTGCCTGGGTTCAAGCCCCAGCTCTTTGCTTACCAGTTGTGGCAATCTATTTACCTCTTTGAGCCTCAGCTTTCCCATCTGTAAAGTGGGATGATAGTTGTACCTACCTGATCACCTCATTGTGAGGATAAGATGTGATCATAGATATAAAGCACTCCTGACCCAGGGTAAGTCCTTCACTAACACGCACTTCACTGGGAAGTGGGGGGATTCCGGGGACTCGGTATTGTTCTCAGACCAATAGAACCTAGCTCTAGGTGACATGGAGCTAGATATCTACTTTATAAGAAACTGTACATTTGCCTGCAATTTTCTATGTATTTCACAATTTAAAAGTTTTAAAACTTTAAAAGTTTGTATCTCACACTCCCCAATCTGATATTTATTCATTACCTCCTTCCTTCACTTACGTTTACTCCTTTCCTAATCATTTGGTCACCGGCAGCCAGTGCATAAAACTCAGTCCTATCTCATGGTGACAAAAGGCTGTAAGTCCGCTGACGGGTCACCCCAGGGTAAAACGAGTTCTTATCACTTCGTGCCTTGGCCACTTCTCTGCCGGAGGCCATGTGAGGGGCAAGGCGAGCCATGGGGAGGCCACAGGAGGGAAGTGGAAAGGTAGCAGCTGCCAGCTCCCGGCTCCAGCCCAGCCGCTGTGGCTGGTGTCCTCTGGCCAGGGCAGCCCAGCCAGGCAGTTATGCAAGAGTGGAAAGATTTCTGGGAGGAAGGGAAGGAAGTGCTAGGGCCACGGACCCTGAGCTCAGGAGGAGGTCCTGCTTGCCCTTCCCCTAGACATGCCCTGGTAAGCAATGCTGTGAGTATGACCTCTGCAAAGGGATCTCAAGCAGCACCTGAGGGACAGGGCAGATCAGAGACTAACAGAGTCTGTCAGGAAGGGGCCATTTACTGAATAATTAAAGGGCAGCCACTCAGCAGTGAGCCCAGTGCTCTGTGCCAGGCCCTCCCTCCTGATGTGAAGTCATTCAGTCCATTTGTTGTTTTCAACTTTTTATTAAAGTAAAACAGACCCAGAGAACAAAGCCATCCACAGATTTCCTTGCGTGGGGCTACATTACTTTTCAGAAAGTGCGCACACTTGTGGAACGAGCATCCTTATCAAGAAAAGGCCCATCACCTGCGGCCTCCTGCTCCCCCGTCAGTACCGCTCCCACCAGGTCACGCTGCCTTCCAACCCCCCAGACCGGCGTGGGCAGCTGGCGCTGGTAGACACGTTCTGCAGGTGTGCTTTCCCCCTGCCGTCCCTCCCACCACACTGTCGGAAGGTTCGCCCCTGTGTGGCGGTTCCGTTTCATTGCTGAGCAGTGTATCCTGCTGTGTGGGAAGGTCCTTGATGCGTAATGGAAAGGACTTGCAAGGCTTGTCACACCCAGGGCTGGTGACCTGCAGGTGGGAGGGAGCAGCAGCGACTGAAGGGGACCTCCCAAACAAGTTCTTCTGAGCCAGACGCCAACCCAACCCTGGCCCCCATAAGTCCAGGGGGGCCCATGGCTCGCGGTGCCCACTGCCTTTGTCATGTTTCAATTTTGCAATCTGCCCGCCTGGGCCACAAACTGGCCTCTCTCAGGTGCGCTGCTCCCCTCCTCACCTCTTCCTCCCAAATCCCCTTCTGGGCAGAGATGGCCCCATCACCCAGGAGGACACAGCCAGCTCTGAGGGCCCATTCTTTGACCAGGATTTGAACTCAGGTCAGAAAGTCTGTCCCAGCTGCCACTGGCCCTCAGCCGGGCTCACACAGGGATGTGCTCCTACCCTTGCACACACGGCCCTGGAGGCGTCCATTCATTCAGCAGTGAGTGAGGCAGCCACTCTCCAGATGTTGAAGGGGGTCCACTGGGTGCCTGAGCAGGCCAAGTCCTTGTGCTCATGGGGCTCACACTCCGGCAAACATGAAATGGGTAATTTGCCAGTTGTGGGAAGTACTCTGAATAAAAACAGAAAGGCGGCCTGGGGAGGCATGAAGTTTTGCTATTTTATGTGTAATTATCATGGAAGGCCGCTCCGAGGAGGTGCCATTGGAGCAGAAACCTAGAGAACGCGAGGGAGGGAGTTACAGGTCTGTGGGAGATGGGCCAGGGGGCGCGGGGGCAGCCCGTTGTGTTTGGGGTCGGCAGAGGCCATTGGGGGGGTTGGGGGGGGCAGAGGCCGCCACCAGGAGCGGTGGTGAGGGAATCCCCACCTGCGAGGCCTTGCAGGCCACGGGGAGGACAAGGACGAGGACAGGCTTGTCCCCGCACCCATGCGTGCGAGCGGCCGTCCGCGTCCCCGCGGTGGGGCCCGGGGAGACCCAGACGATGAAAGAAGGAGGAAGCCTGTTCTGCGCCCTCCGCCCCTCCTGCCCCAGCCCGGCTGACAGGGGCCACTTCCTCTTTCCAGCCCATTTAAGGCCCAGCCCGGGGCGCCCGGGCCAGAGCGGCCGCGCAGCCCGCCATGGGGGACACCTTCATCCGCCACATCGCCCTCCTGGGCTTCGAGAAGCGCTACGTCCCCAGCCAGCACTACGTGAGCAGTGGATGGGGGGCGGGGGGCCCCGGACCGCGGGGGTGGCAGGGCGAGACCGCGGGCGAACGGCTCCCTGTCTCCGGGCCTCAGTCTGCCCGTCGGGGTCAGCAGTGGACGTGGGACCCTGAAAAGGATGCGCGCCCGGGCACCCGGCCCTGCCAGCCCACCTCACTCCGCACCCCAGCCAAGTCCCCTCTCCACTCCCGTACCCTTCCCGGCAGCCAGCCCGCGCTCAGGCCCAGGGCGTGCGCCTCCACCTCCGGGCAGCCCTCCCGGACCACCCCGGCTTTAGGGAGAGGTCCTCCCGGAGGTGGGCGGGCTCTCCGTCCCCGCAGTCTCCCCGCAGCCGCATGGGGACCTGGGGGAGTGTCTGTCCAGACATCACACCCCATATACGGTCCCCAAGCCCAGAGGAAGGCCAGGGACAATCTGCATTCTCTTTTCTCTGCTCCCCCTCTCCCTCTCCCCCTCCATCTCTCCCTCCTTCCCTCCCTGGTCCCTTCTGTCTCTTGAATATAAATTTCCTGAAACACTTGAGAGCTGAGTTGGAGTAGTTGTTTCATAACCTCTGAACACTGTGGTGTGTATTGCTTAAAATCAGCGACTTTCTCTTACAGAGCCAGGGTGCAAATGTGTCAAAATGAGGAAATGAACATTGATAAACACTGTAATCCAACCCACACACCTTATTCAGATGTCACCTGTCCTCTGTGCTGTAAGACTATTTCAGGCCCAGGATCCAATCCCAAATCACCAGTTCCATGTCAGTTGTCCTGTCTCTTCAGCCCTCCTTCATCCGGGTCAGTCCGTCTTCCTTTGTCCTCTCGACTTGGCCGTTTTGAAGAGATGGGACCCGTTATTTTGTAGTCTGTCCCTCGATTTGGGTGTGTCCGATACTTCACTCGATTCAGGTTATGCACAGATGGCGCTGGGTGATGCTGGGTTCTTCTCATAGATCCTACCAGGTGGCAGGGGACTGTGACTGGTTCTGATACTGGCCGAGAGCATTGGGCACCAAGTCCTGGACAGGTCCTCCAAGTTCCTCTGCTGTACAGTTACTTTCCCTCCCTTTGTTTTAAATAGACTAACCTGTGGGTAGAAATTTGAAGATATGTGAATATCCCGTTCCTTATAGTAACTGATGGCTGAATCAGATGACTGCAATGATTGCTACATGGTGATTTTTACACTCAATCATTCCTTCTGCATTTATCACTCAACATTTTCTGCAAGGGCCTTCCCTTCTCCTTTTATTTGTTTACTTCTGCCGATATGGATCCATGGATTCTGATTTTATTCAATGGATTGTAATCCATTACTATCATAACTTACTTTGATGCTCAGATTTGGTCAGTGGGAGCTCCTTCAAGCTGGCTTCTGTGCCTGCCATTCTTTGGGCACATTCTTACTTCTGGCACAAGATGGTCCAGGTTACTCTCCCAGGCCCAGCCCTGCACTCAGCCATGTTGCTAAGGACCCCTGATTCTTTTTAGTGGGGAGTGATCTTAGAACCGAAGATCTGGAAGCTAGGTGTGCTCACTGCCACTGAGGTGTCATCGCTCATGTCCTTCGAGTAGACAGACTGGGGAAAGTAGCCATTTCATTTCATTCTTGCCTTTCACCATTTTATATTTGTAGCTCCTTTCTCTCACTGTGAGAAGCCTGGCTCCCAACAACATCCTTATATTTACTTCTTTGCTCAATTCAACAAAACACATCCACTTGTTTCAGAATTACTATGCCCATACCACTATTGCAATAAACCTACTAACCTATTAAGTCAAATGTAAGTTTTCTTTTTTAAAAAAATATATTTTAAAAATTGATTTTACAGAGAGGAAGGGAGAGAGATAGAAACATCAGTGATGAAAGAGAATCATTGATCTGCTGCATCCTGCACGCCCCACACTGGGGATGAAGCCCACAATCTGGGCATGTGCCCTGACCGGGAATCAAACTGTGACCTCCTGGTTCATAGGTTGACGCTCAACTGCTAAGCCATGCCAGATGGGCAAGTTTTCTTTTTTTTAAATCCTCACCCTAGAATATTTTTTCCATTGTTTTTTTTTTTTTAGAGAGAGTGGAAGGGAAGGAGGGTGGAGAGAGAGAGAGAGAGACAACAATTGGTTGCCTCCTTTGCAAGCCCCTACTGGGGTTAGGGATCAAACCTGCAACAAGGTACGTGCCCTTGAATGGGAATGGAATCCTTGACCCTTCAGTGCATGGGCCAATGCTCTAACTGCTGAGCCACCGGCCAGGGCAAATTTAAGTGGTTTTTTTGCAGTTCTTTTTTTTTTTAATATATATATTTTATTGATTTTTTACAGAGGGGAAGGGAGAGGGATAGAGAGTTAGAAACATCAATGAGAGAGAAACATCGATCAGCTGCCTCCTGCACACGCCCTACTGGGGATGTGCCCACAACCAAGGTACATGCCCTTGACCGGAATCAAACCTGGGACCCTTCAATCCGCAGGCCAACGCTCTATCCACTGAGCCAAAGCGGTCAAGGGCCTAATGTATTCTTCATTTCAGTTATTGTATTCTTCATTTCGGGCTGGTTCCTTTTTGTGGTTTCTATCTTTGTTAAATTTCTCACTGAGTTCATCTATTCTTCTCCTCAGTTCACTGAGCGTCCTTATAACCAGTGTTTTGAACTCTTTAGAATGTTTGTCTCTGTCTCATTTAGTCCTTTTTCTGGGGTTTTGTCTAGGTTTTTCATTTGAAACACATTTCTCTGCTCGTTTTGGCTGTCTCTGTGTTTGTTTATATGAATTAGGTGAACCAGCAACCTCTCCTGGTCTCGAATGAGTGGCCTAGTGCAGGAACTTCCCTTTTGCAGAGTGTGTGAGCCAGGTGCACTTGGCAAGCCAGCTGGTGCTGGAACCTGCAGCTGGAGCACTTGTGGGCCTTAAGGGAGTCCTGGGGGCAAGTTCACTGGGGCTTGGAGCTGGAGCTGGAATGGGTATGGGCCAAGGGAAGTCACTGGGGCAGGCTGCAGCAGGACTGCCTTGGCTGGCTTAGGCTTCATGTAGGCCCTGGGGAGAAGCTGAACCAGGGTCTGGAGCTGAACAGGAGCAAATGGGAGCCTCAGGGGCTGGAGCTGGTGGTCCGTGAGGTCTGAAAGGTTGGCGACTGCTGGTCCACAGCAAGTTCAGGGGCAAGCCACACCGGGCAGAAGTAGTAGCTGTGGCAGGTGTGAAGCTGAGGAGAGTCTGGAGGCAAGCAGTGCAGGCGGCCTGATAGGCCAGCCGGACCTGTTGCTGGAGCTGGGCCAGCCGCAGCGAGTCCTGGGGACAAGCAGCAGAGCCCGTGGGCCTGGGGTGCACAGGGACGGCCCTGGCCTACAGCTGGAGTGTCTGGATCAAGAAGTGGGGGCACACGGTATGTGTCCGCACGGTGCTCCGCCTTTAATCTTTGAGCCTCCTGTGAGGTCGGACTGTGGTGGTCCCCTTTTACAGCTGAAGAAATAGAGGACCAGAGAGGTTAGGAGCTTTGCCCACTACCACACAGCAGATAAGGAGGGAGGGCCATGTGGGGTCCGCTGCTGGGCCGCCCACCCCTGCCCACCTGCTCCCCCCACAGGCTGCAAGGGCAGTAACCCAGGCATCCCGTTGAAATCCTCTCCCCGACTCACAGGCAGGAAATCAAGGCTCAGAGAGGGGTGTCCAGGTGCTTCTTATCCGCACGGCTCTATTCCGGGCCCTCTTTTTTCTTGAACTTATTTTGTTAATGAGGTGAAATTCACATAATATAAATGTGACCAAATTGAAAGCCGAGTCTAGATTTCAAGTGAAAAAAAAAAAAAGAAGTGGGGCACAGCCCTGGCCAGTATTGCTAAGTGGTTAGAGCATTGGCCCACGCACTGCAGGGTTGTGGGTTCAATTCCAGGTCAAGGGCACGTACCTGGGTTGCAGGTTTGATCCCCATCCCTAGTCAGGGCATGTGTGGGAGGCAACTAATCTTATGTCAATGTTTCTCTCTCTCTCTCTCCATCCCTCCTTCTCTCCCATCCACTCTAAAAATCAATGGGGAAAATATCCTCAGGTGAGGATTAACAAAACGAAAGAAAGAAGTGGGGACACACATGGTGCTCTGTTGCCCTCAAGCCCAGAGAGAGTTTCTGCAGTTCCTCTCCCACTTGGCAAACGCTCTAGGGCAGCGGTTCTCAACCTCTGGCCCTTTAAATACAGTTCCTCATGTGGTGACCCAACCATAAAATTATTTTCGTTGCTACTTCATCACTGTAATGTTGCTACTGTTATGAATCGTCATGTAAATATCTGATATGCAGGATGGTCTTAGGCGACCCCTGTGAAAGGGTCGTTCGACCGCCAAAGGGGTCGCGACCCACAGGTTGAGAACCGCTGCTCTAGGATTAGTGAATGGATTTCCTTCCTGTGTGGCCTGGGTATCCTTTAAACCAGCGGTCGCCAACCGGTGGTCTGCGGTCCTTTTGGTGAGGTCCAGAAGGTTGGCAGCCGCTGCTTTAAACTACCGTTTTTAAGCTGTACCTCCCGGTAGGCGCCCGCAGGCCAGTGTGCCGGGTGGGGTGCCCACCTGCCTGTACCCTGTGCTCCTCCCTGTTTCTGGGTGGCCTCTCTTGTTGGCTGTGCAGAAGCTCTTCAGTCAGCCCTCAGCTCTTCTTCAGGGGGAGCTGCTCTGTCTGTTGGTGTAAATTTGATGTGTTCCTGGGAGGAGGCGAGCTCAGCATTGTTATCTTGGAGCAGAAGCCCCTCCTTGTTCGTTTGGTTTTATTTTTAAATATGTAAAATATTCACATGTGTTCAGACATCAAAATGTTATAAAAATACGACCAAACACTCATTCTGGTTCATCTTTTCTGTATTTCTCTTTACAAAAATAAGTGGAACTATATGAAATTTTCTTATTATTTCTTCCTTACGACCACAGATAACAAACCAGGTGACCTATGTTCATTTTTCATTTTCCTATAACATCCTGGAGTTACCTCCAAATTCATTGAGTCTCTTGGGTATTTTTTTTTTCATCTTTAAATATCCCATTGTATGACTCTACCATTGTTTCTTCAAACAACCATTTAGATTGTTTTCACTAATTTGCAATTACCTAGTCACCCTGCATTTATGTTGTTATGAGAAAAGCCAAACACCTCTTTATGTGTTTAAGGGTCCCATATATACACGTGTGTGACATGAATTGTCTGTTCATACCTTTTGCTCATTTTTCTATCAGATTTTTTTGGTCTTTTTTTTCTTCAAATTAAAAAAAGTTCTTTATATATTGGAAATATTAACCCTTTATGTGCGATGTGTATTTTTTTTACAGTCAATTGATTTAGTTTTTTCAATTACAGTTGACATTCAATACTATATGAGTTCAGGTGCACAGCGTAGTGGTTAGACGTTTCTGTTGCGTATGGAGTGATGCCCTGAGAAGTCTAGTGCCCCTGACACCATACGTAGTTATGACAATATTACTGACCACACTCCCCGTGCTGTACTTTACATCCCCAAAGCTATGTAGTAACTGCCAACCTGCTGTCATCTTAAAGAAGCGCGCTGAGGAGAAACCCGAGAGACTGACAATTTACCTGAAAGCTGTTTCAGTTATTGCATCAGACGAAAATTCCTGCACTGGGCTAAATCTACTTCTTTTCTAATTTTACCCTTTGTGTGTGGGGTAGATCAGGAAAGTTGGATTGCGGAATTAACTAGATAAAATAATTGTCCCCAACCCCGAATAAATGGGCGACCCTGTGAGACTTTGATAAAACTGTCAATTTTTAAAACGTTTCCCTTCTGTGATTTCCCCCAATCCTTGGAGCTGTTTCTACGGAAGTGTGATGGTGCTGAGTGGCAACTCACCTGCCCAGCTCACCTGCCCAGCTCACCTGCCCAAATCACCTGCCCAGCTCACCTGCCCAGCTCACCTGCCCAAATCACCTGCCCAGCTCACCTGCCCAGCTCACCTGTCCAACTCACCCGCCCAGCTCACCCGCCCAACTCACCTGCCCAGCTCACCCGCCCAGCTCACCCGCCCAGCTCACCCGCCCAGCTCACCCGCCCAGCTCACCCGCCCAGCTCACCCGCCCAGCTCACCCGCCCAGCTCACCCGCCCAGCTCACCCGCCCAGCTCACCCGCCCAGCTCACCCGCCCAGCTCACCCGCCCAGCTCACCCGCCCAGCTCACCCGCCCAGCTCACCCGCCCAGCTCACCCGCCCAGCTCACCCGCCCAGCTCACCCGCCCAGCTCACCCGCCCAGCTCACCCGCCCAGCTCACCTGCCCAGCTCACCTGTCCAACTCACCCGCCCAGCTCACCTGCCCAGCTCACCTGTCCAACTCACCCGCCCAGCTCACCTGCCCAGCTCACCTGTCCAACTCACCCGCCCAGCTCACCTGCCCAGCTCACCTGTCCAACTCACCCGCCCAGCTCACCTGCCCAGCTCACCTGTCCAACTCACCCGCCCAGCTCACCTGCCCAGCTCACCTGTCCAACTCACCCGCCCAGCTCACCTGCCCAGCTCACCTGTCCAACTCACCCGCCCAGCTCACCTGCCCAGCTCACCTGTCCAACTCACCCGCCCAGCTCACCTGCCCAGCTCACCTGTCCAACTCACCCGCCCAGCTCACCTGCCCAGCTCACCTGCCCAATTCACCTGCCCAACTCACCTGCCCAGCTCACCCGCCCAGCTCACCTGCCCAGCTCACCTGTCCAGCTCACCTGCCCCGGCTGCATTTCCTCTGCTCTCTGGAGGAGAGTATTTATTCATTATATAATATTGCTATAAAGAACAATGAAGATAAACCTCTGTGATGTGTATTGCAAATATTTTTCTCACAGTTTACCATTTGCATTTTGGCATTGCTTATGGTTTCATACACAAAATTTGAAAGAATGTTAACGTATTTGAAGTAGCAATCTTCTACTGTCTTTTGGTTTTGAGTCCGTTAGAAAGTCCCATCTACCGATGTTTCCTTCTTGTGTTACTGACTAAAGTTGGTGGGTCCTTTGCCCCAGCACACAGAAAGGCCAGACACTGAAACAGCAGGTTTTTCACAGACAAAAGGGAGTTTTATTCCTGAGGTAGACAGGTGAGGAGACAGGGAGAAAGCCCAAATCTGTCTCCCCAATAAAGATTTGAAGTAAATTTAAATTTAAAGAATTAGGGTGAGGAGGGGCTATGCATAGTCATCAGTTCTAATCCAGGGTCTGAATAGTGTGGGAACTAAGCCATCTAAGGTAAGGAGCGTGGAAGGGCAGGACAGAATGAGGTCATGTCAGCCTGGCAGTCTATTGGTTAGTCCTATATGTGTCCGTATTTGATCTAAACATCCCATCTTCCTGACTGACAAACCTCGAGCTTCTTCAAGGGTCAGGTAGCAGCCCGGTTGTTGTCGCTCAGTGGTTGAGCGTTGACCTATGAACCAGGTAGTCACAATCCGATTCCTGGTCAGGGCCCATGCCTGGGTTGCAGACTTGATCCCCAGTGTAGGGCATTCAGGAGGCAACTGATCAATGATTCTCTCTCTCATCATTGATGTGTGTATCTCTCTCTTTCTCCCCCTCCCTTCCTCTCTGAAATCAATAAGAATATATATTTTTTAAAAAAAAGAGTCAGATGGCAACAAGGGTGCTGTTCCTTGAGTTCCGAGGCCTTGGTTCCGCGGTGCTCTACAGGTCTGCCGAGGGCCATTTGACTGCCAACTGCGCCTGCTCCAGCCTCTGGGACCAGCCAAGTCTGGTGGTCTCTGGAGGACTGTGAGGAGGCCTGGTGTTAATCTGCTGAAAAACACTACAAATAAACAGAGAAAAACTATTATGGTCTGGTTTCGGTCTGAGGTCCCTCGGGGGCCACCTGGTTTCAGTGTAGGGGGGGCCCGGTTTCATTGCACTCACATGGTTTCAATTTTTACATTTATGACTCTGATCCACTTGGAGTTTATTTCTGCTGTGTGGTGTGAAAAACAAATCCAATTTTCCCTTTTCCTAAAAGGCGTGTCAGTTGTCCCAACACCAATTTTGTAAAAATCCACCTTTACATCTGTGATTGGAATTGCCACTTTTTTCATATCCTAAATTTCCATATGTACTTGATCTATTTCTAGATTTTCTATTTTGTACCATTTTTATTGTTCATAGTACCACATTGCTGTTTTTTTTTAAGTTATAGTGATTAAAAAATATATATAATAAAATTTACCATTTCACCTTTTTGTTGTTGTTAATCCTCACTGAGGACATTTCTCCATTGATTTTTAGAGAGAGTGGAAGAGTGGGAGGAAGAGAGAGAGAAACATTGATGTGAGAGAAACACATCAATTGGTTGCCTCTCACATGTGCTCCAACCAGACCAGGCTCGTATCAAGTCTGCACCCCAGTATTTGACCGGTAATTGAACCTGTGACCCTTCGGTGCTCCAGCTAATGCTCTGACCACTTAGCAATACCGCCCAGAGCCCATTTCCACCATTAAAAAAATATTTCTTTAATTGATTTTAGAGAGGAAGGGAGAGATAGAAACATCAATGATAAGAGGGAATCATTAATTGGATGTCTCCTGCACACCTCCCACTGGGGATCGAACCTGAAACCTGGGCATGTGCCCTGACTGGGAATCAAATTGTGACCTCCTGGTTCATATGTTGACGCTCAACCACTGAGCCACAGCAGCCAGGCTTAATTATTTTTTAAATAATGGCTTTATTGAGATATAATTTCCATGCTATACAGTGCACCTATGTAAAGCATACAATGGTTTTTAGTACTAGTATGTGCATAGAGTTGCGCAATCATTGCAATAATCAATTTTAGAAGATTTTCATCCCCCCCCCCCCCACACACACACACACACACACAAAAGCCTGTACCTGCTAGTGGTTATTCTTCCCCCATACCTGGCAACCACTAATCTACTTTCTGTCTTTATGGACTTGTCTATTCTGGACATTTTATGTACATGGAACAATACAATACCTTACTGGGTTCTTGTATTGTTTGAGCTCAGCGCTTTCTGTATCTTATTTCCTGAAACTCTCTCATACCAGCCCTATGGTGAGGTCCTACTTTTATCTCCAATGACAGGTGAGGAATTGGAGAGAGGCAATCATCTTGTCCTGGGTCCTAAAGCTGGAGAGTGGCAGCTCTGGGGTCCCTGAATTCAGTGTCTTTTCTGTGGTCATGTTGCCCCACAGAGCGCTCTGTCCCCAGTCCTTCAGGCTTCACTTGGGGGTGGGGGCTGCCCAGCTGCACGGCGAGGCCTCCTTGGAAGCTGAACGAGGCCCTCCCACCCCCAGGTGTACATGTTCCTGGTGAAGTGGCAGGACCTGTCCGAGAAGCTGGTCTACCGGCGGTTCACCGAGATCTATGAGTTCCATGTGAGTACTCGCCTGGGGTCAGGGGGTCAGGGAGGGACGGCACACCCAGTCCCAGCTCTGCCTCTTGGGGAGAAGAGAGGTGCTGCCTGGGAGCTGAGGCGCCCGGAGTCTGTCCTCACCAGCCCACAGTTAAGGGGGAATTTCTTAAACTTTAAGAAACATTTTACTTAATATATTTTTATTGTGGTAAAATGTGCATAACATAAATTTACAATTTTAACCATTTAAGTACAGCTCGGTGGCATTAAGTATATTCACAATGTCATATGCTGATCATGACCATCCATCTCCAAAATGTCTTCATCTTCCCACACAGAAACTCTGTGCCCATTCCACACGAACTCAAGAGAGTATTCTTTAGGGACATACTTGATATACACTGAGTGGCCAGATTATTATGACCACCCCATCAGTACAATGAAGTGAATTAGTTATGCAAATAATAATAATAATAATAATAATAACAAAACCTTGAGAGTATTTGCTTAGGAAGTTTTCAGTATGCACTATTTTTGGAAGTGTCAATGAAGTACTGATGGGGTGGTCATAATAATCTGGCTGGTCGTAATAAACTGGCCACTCAGTGTATGTAGGGAGAGAATGGGAATAGCACGTGCAAAGGCCCTGGGGCAGGAGTGGGCCTGGAGTGTTTAAGGTTGGCTGGAGCACAGTGTACCAGGGGGAGCGTGATGGCAGAAGGGGTGAGTGGGGTGGGCAGGGCCAAGTCTAGCAGGGCCTTGTAGACCAACATGAGGCCTTTGGCTTCCACTCTGAGGGAGCTGAGAGGCGGGTAGCATTCTGAGCAGAGGAGGGACAGGATCCAACTTAGGTTTTAAGAGGATGCCTCTGGATGCTGGATTGAGAGGATCCCTTAGGCTTTAAGAGGATCCCTCAAGGGCAGAAGGGGAAAGAAACATAAGAAGGACATAAAATCCAGGGCTGGTGGAAGCTTGGACCAGGGTGTTGGCAGTGTGGGTAGTAAGAAGGGTCAGATTCTGGATAGATGTTTGCAATAGAACCAAAAGGATCTTCTGGTGGCTGGCTGTGGGGTGGGAGAGGAAGAGAGGAATCAAGGTCGTCACCAGAAGTTTGTGGCCAGAGCGATAAGAAGGGTATTTAGGTCGTTTCTAATGTTGTGCTTTTACAGTGTTGCAATGAAAAAATATTCCTTCTCGTTTTCTTTTCTGTCTAGAAAACCTTAAAGGAAATGTTTCCTATTGAGGCGGGGGACATCAACCCAGAGAACAGGATCATCCCCCATCTGCCAGGTGAGGGGCTGAGTCACCTGGGTGGGCTCACCTGTCCTGGCTCCCCTCACCTGCCCTCCACGCTGCCCCCTCTGCCCTTGCCCCTGCTTGGACTGGACCTCGAGAATGTGCTCACTGTTTCTCTGGTGCCCCTCCCTGATCCGGTCAGCACCGAGGTGGTTTGACGGGCAGCGGGCAGCCGAGAACCGCCAGGGCACGCTCACCGAGTACTGCAATGCACTCATGGGCCTGCCGGTCAAGATCTCCCGCTGCCCACTACTCCTTGACTTCTTCAAGGTGCGCCCCGACGACCTCAAGCTCCCCACCGACAGCCAGTGAGTGGCCTCCTTTCCTGTTCCGAGGCAGGTGGGAGAGGAAATGAGGTGGTAAACGCCCCCTAGCAGGGTGGGACTTCCCCCAGGTTACAGGTTAGGAGGCTGAAGCTCAGAGAGGGGCATTGACTTGCCCGAAGTCACACAGCCAGAAAGAGAAGGGGGCAAAATTCCAACCCTGGCTCGTGTGACCTGCAGCCACTCAGCATCCTTTCCAAGTCTCCACTTGGGCCCCTCTGAGCGTCAAGGCTGCAGGAGGCGCTGGGGGGCGGGGGTCCAAAAGCCTTTTGAAAACAGTTTACCCATGTGTGATGGGGCAGTGAGGGCCAAATGTAGTTCTAGGTGCTACGGAGAGCAGCGGTTCTCAACCTGTGGGTCGCGACCCCTTTGGGGGTCGAACGACCCTTTCACAGGGGTCGCCTAAGACCATCGGAAAACACATATATAATTACATATTGTTTTTGTGATTAATCACTATGCTTTAATTATGTTCAATTTGTAACAATGAAAATACATCCTGCATATCAGATATTTACATTACGATTCATAACAGTAGCAACACTACAGTTATGAAGTAGCAACGAAAATAATTTTATGGTTGGGGGTCACCACCACATGAGGAACTGTATTAAAGGGCCAGAAGGTTGAGAACCACTGGCTTACAGAGAGTGAAGTGTGAGAGGATGTGGGGTCCGTGGCCTCTGTGAATTGCTGAACAGGTCTCGGGCCCCTGGCTCCCTTTTGTCACCTGGTTCTCTGGCAGCCCCGCCCCAGGGGTCTCTTGTCCTCAGGGCCCTGCCTGGGAGCGCCTGAGGCTGAGTGGGACCTCAGGGGACAGGCTGGCAGGACCCCCTCTCTGTCCCTCTGTGGCCACTGAGTGTGGGGGGAGACCGGAGGGAGGACAGGGCTGCCGAAGACCATCCGGTGCTTACTGGCCCCTGAACTCACCCCTGCTGCCGGGAAGGGCAGCTCCCAGCGGCGGGGAGGGAGCCCTTCCCATTGGCTGCTGGTCCGGGAGCTGACAGCAGAGCCAGGGCCTCGCTATGCAGCTGGGAGGAGGCCCTTTCTGTCTTTGACGGTTGGCGCCTTCTCCTTGGGGTCCCCACCTCAGGCTGGAGGAACAACCCCTGAACCCCCAATGCCCTTTCCTTGCCAGTCCAGTCGAGGCCTTCTCTCTGCAGCGGCCCCATTCCCCACATCCCCATTCCCCGGGGAAGCCGAGTCTAACCCAGACTGTCCTCTGCTGCAGGGTGAAAAAGCCGGAGACCTACCTGGTGCCTAAAGATGGCAAGACCAACGCTGCCGCTGCCGGTGAGGGGGCCGGGGGCAGCCAGGGCAGGTCACCCTACGGGGACCGTTGACATGATCAGGGAGCCGGGCTCAGGGTGCACAGGGAAAGAGCAGCGAGAGCAGTTGTGGAGGGTGTTGGTGGCTACACTCTGGGATCTTTGGGGTTCACTGGATAGCGAAGGGAGCTCCTTGCAAATAAAGGTACCTCCCCGGCCTCCGCGGCTGCAGAGCCCAGCACAGATGCTGGGGGAGGTTGGGCAAAGGTGGCCTTCAGGGGTGACACAGAGTATCCTGTCCAGCTCTGGCTGCTATCACAGTACCACAGGCCGGCAGCTTGCATTTATTTCTCACAGTTCTGGAGCCTGGGCGTCTGAGGTCAAGGTGTGAGGGTTGGTTTCTGCTGAGGCCTCTCTCCTGGGCTTGCAGACGGCTGCCTCCTTGCCGTGTCCTCACATGGCCTTTCCTTTGTGCACATACATCCCTGGTGTCTCTTCCTCTTTTTATAAGGACACCAGTCCTATTGGGTCAGGGCCCCGCCTTGATGACCTCATTTAACCTTAATCACCTCCTTAAAGGCTCTATCTCCAAATACAGTGGGGCCTTGACTTACGAGTGTCCCGACTAACGAGTTTTTTGAGATACCAGCTGTCTCTCGGCCGATTTTTTGCATTGAGTTGATAGAGTAATTTGAGTTAACGAGCTCCTTAACGAGCTCGATCTCGAAACGAATTAAACTCGTAAGTCAAGGCCCCACTGTACACTCTGATTCTAGAGTACTGAGGGTTAGGGCTTCATTATATGAATTGGGGTGGGGGGCGCACAATTCAGCCCGTAATGGCAGCAGCAGAAGCAGCCCCTGGGAATGGTTGAAAATGCACTCTCTGGTCTCACCACAGACCAATGGAATCAGAAACTCATTTCAGCACGATCCCTGAGCGATTTGTGTGCAGTTAACGTTGAGGAGGACGGCTTGCTAACCTCATCAAATGAGAAAGGGAACGTGTGTAGTGTGACCAGTGTCTGGAACACACAGGCGCTCACTCAATGCAGGGCCGCAAAGCTCATCTCTGCTGCTTTCCCGCCGGCAGGGCGCAGCCACCTGTGGATGCCTGGAGCTGGGTGGGGATAGGACACTGGGGACCACAGGGAGAGCCAGGAGGGGCAGCTCACCCCACAGCATCACTCACCCTGTCCTCCCTCTGCCCAGACATCACCGGCCCCATCATCCTGCAGACGTACCGGGCCATTGCTGACTACGAGAAGAGCTCGGGCACCGAGATGGCTCTGGCCATGGGCGACGTGGTGGACGTCGTGGAGAAGGGCGAGAGCGGTCAGTCTCCTGCCTGCCCTGCCCAGACCTCCCTCCCCCGCTGCTTGGGCCTGTGGCCACAACTCC